GCCTGTAGTCCCAGCTACTCCGGAGGCTGAAGCAGGAGGATCGCTTGAGCCCAGGAGTTTGAGGTTGCTGTGAGCTAGGCTGACACCACAGCACTCACTCTAGCCTGGGCAACACAGCGAGACTCTGTCTCAAAAAAAAAAAAAGAAAAAAAACCTTACAACTGCATTGTAAAGACAAATATATAATCTTTGACCCTAAAAGATCATTTTTTCTCTGAATTTTAAGAGAACCTAAAACATTTCCATGATCCCATAAGAGTACTATAGGTCCTAGGCCTAGAACCTAAGGAGGTGAGTTCACCCAAACCACGTGGGCCAAGAGACAGAGCGAGGGGCCCACAGAGAAAAGCAAGGATCTTTCACGGCTGAGGACACAGCTCTCTGTGGCTGGTGCCCCTCCTCGTATCCGCACTTCCTGGGCCGGGCCTGAATCTGAGCCTGGGTCAGAGGAGGGAGCTGGGAGCTTCGGGGGACAATACAGGGGAAAGGCAGATGGAGCTCTGACCTCAGGGCCGAGATCACCTGTTTGAGAGTAAAACCCAGAGGCCCTTTCTGAAATTGTTGGTTGAACAGCAGACCTGGGGCTGACTTCATTCATTCATTCATTCGTTCTTTTAGTTAGTCAACTGAAGAGGTAGGACCACACAGGCCCAATCAGCTCGTGCAATGTGCTTTGGGGGCACTCTAAACACAGAGGAAGATATTATCTGGTTTGGGGTTCTATATTTCAAACTTCCAAGCTGCAGATAATTTCCATGATAATATGAATTTTACCAGAACATAAAAAAATGGAAAATTTTCCAATTTCATTTCTTTCCTAATTATTTTTCTTTGTTTTTTTTTCTTTCTTTTCTGATTAGTTTGGATTTTCTTTTTGTTTTTGTTGTGTGTTTTTATTTAAAACATTAACTGCCATGTGAGTTAAATTTAACTCACACTAGTTTTGAGCCCAGGGCCTCAATCAGCAGGTCTCCCCGACCTCCTGTTGCCCTGGGTTGCATGTAACTTATGCACAGAAAACAATAAAAAATAAACTTTTCATTAAATTAGAAAGTTTTGTTTTCAAAGTTTTTATTCTATTTTCATAATAAAATGCCATGGCCCCAAGAAAAAAATTTTTTTTCTAGTGTGGCAGTCAATGTGATAAAAAAAACTTTGGGTGGTACAAGTGTTTTTTGTTACATGGATGAATTGTGTCATGCTGATGTCAGGGCTTTCAGTGTGCCCATCACCAGAATAGTGTACATTATACCCAATAGGTAGACTTTTATCTTTTCCCCTCCCCACCTCCCCCCTTCTTAGTTTTTAATGTCAATTTATACCATTTTATGACCATATATATCCCTCATTTAGCTCCAACTTATAAGTAAGAACATGTGGTATTTGTTTTTCCATTCCTGAGATACTTTACTTAGGATAATGGTCTCTAGTTCCATCCAACTTGCTAAAAAAGACATTATTTCATTCCTTATGATGGTTGAGTAGTATTCCATGGTATATACACACCACATTTTCTTTATCCACTCATTAGTTGATTGGAACTTAGGTTGGTTCCATATCTTTGCAATTGTAAATTGTGCTGGAATAAACATATGAGTGCATGGGTCTTTTTTATATAATGACTTCTTTTGGGCAGATACCCAGTAGTGGGATTGCTGGATCAAATGGTAGGTCTACTTTTAGTTCTATGAGAAATCTCCATACTGCCTTCTATAGCAGTTGTACTAGTTCACCTTACCACCAAGAATGTGTAAGTGTTTCGTTTGCACCACATCCACACCAGCATTTATTGTTTTTTGACTTTTTAGTAATGGTGATTCTGAGAGGGGTAAGGTGGTATCTTGTTGTGGTTTTAATTTGCATTTCCCTGATGATTAGTGATGGTGAGCATTTTTTAATATGTTCGTTGCTCATTTGTGTATCTTCTTGTGAGAAAAGTGTCTTTTGCCCACTTACTGATAGGGTTATTTTTTTTTTCTTGATGATTTGTTTGAGTTCTTTGTAGATTCTGGATATTAGCCCTTTGTTGAGTGTACACTGTGCAAATATTTTCTCCCATTCTGTAGGTTGTTTGTTTACTCTGTTGATTATTTCCTTTGCTGTGCAGAAACTTTTTAGTCTAATTACGTCTCATTTATTTATTTTTGTTGTTGCTGTATTTGCTTTTGAATCTTACTCCTAAATTCTTTGCCTACTAGTCCAATGTCTAGAAGAATTTTTCCTATGTTTTCTTCTAGCATTTTTATGGTTTTAGGTTTTACATTTAAATCTTTAATCCATCTTGAGTTAATTTTTGTATGTGGTGAGAGATAAGGGTCCAGGTTCATTCTTCTGCATGTGACTATCCACTTTTCCCCAGCACCATTTATTGAATGGGGCTTCCTTTCCCCAGTGTATGTTTTTGTCTGCTTTGTTGAAAATCAGTTGGTCATAGCAATCTGATTTTATTTCTGGAGTCTCTATTCTATTCCATTGGTCTATGTGTCTACCTTTATACCAATACCATTCTAACTCTAAGTCAGAGTTCAGAGTAGGGAAAATCACACAATGTAAAAAAAAAATGTGGAAAAGTTTTCAACTGGAAGTCAAAACTCATTGCACATCAGAGAATTCATACTGGGAGAAACACTAAGAAAACAGGAAATGCAGAGAAACCTCCATTTTGGAGGTCAGAGTTCACTGACTCTGAAACAGTTCCTACAGGAGAAGAACCCTATAAAAGCACTAGTGTGGAAAAGCCTTCAGCAAGAAAACACACCTCATTACACATCAAAGAACCCACAGAGGAGAGAAGGCCTATGAAATAATGAAGTTTGGAATGCATTCATCAATAAATGAAACTTCACAACTCACACTGTGGAGAAACCCTAGGAATGCAACAGATGTGCAAAGGAGAATCTGTAGTACACCAAAAATGTTTTCCTGAGAAGCCCTATTAATTTAAAATATGTGGAAACACCTAGTGCCAAGGTTAAAACTCACTGTGCACCAAAGAATCTATCTAGCAGAGAGTCTCCGTGTTGTATAAAGTGTGGTGCACCCTCAAAATTACTTCCAGACATTATATAACAGAGAATTTATACTGATTTTAAAAAACAATCAATTTAACAAATTTAAGTTCTACCCTGGGGAAACAAAATTCCAAAAGTAAAACCACACTTTTTGTAAAACAGATTAGTGACAAAGAATGTCCGTGCGTCTGTAGTCCAAACGTCTTCCTCCTCTGCCTCACGCTCTCCTTTCAAAGGGGACTTCCCAGTAAATATGGGGAACAAAAAGCTCTTATAGTCACCCTAAGTTATCCGCTTGGAACTAATCCTCACCGTGGATACAACTCTGTCTGTCACTGCTCCCAGCGTCGGGCTCCTGAACAAAACCTCCCACAGGCGTCACAGGGCGGTAAATGCCACCGTGTGCCTCTGTGCTCACACCACTGACAGCACACAAGTGTATTTGAGTTTCCAGGGGTTTGAGAGTAACCGAAGGGAGTACACATGGGGAAGGAAAGCAGCTGTACTCCAAAAAGTTCAACATTCCCCAATCCCAGGGAGAAGACGGCGGTGTGAGGGCCTCATGGGGCACAGGCCAGTTCTGGGCTCACTCTCTGGCCGCTGCTGGCCGTCCCTGCTCACAGGGATGTCACGCAGGTCTGCTCCTCTGCGCCAGCAGAACACCCACCCCAGCCACGTCAGTCCGGAATGTAAACCCACAGGTCTCCTCTCGTGTAGACAAAGAGGAGTCTCCTCCTCCACTCCAACCCTGTGTTTCATTCTGGGTCTCCCGGTTCCTGCACGCTGCCCGCTCCCCAGGGTGTGGAGGTCGATCAAGGGACGGAACTCCCACTCGCACTGGGCTGAGCCGGGGCTTCATCACGATCACTTCAGACCAGAGGGCATTGGCAGTCCCTCTCCAGAGGCGGAAGAACCCTCTCGGTGCCTGTTTCCCACCGCGGGTAGCAAGTCTGGTCTGCACAGGGCCGTGACACCCACAGGTAGGAAAGGGAGACCGATGTGGGGCTGGGCCCCGCACGCTGTGACGGCCAGTGCCACGCACGCCCGGCGTGGTCTTCCTGGACCCCCTGCCGTGACGGCTGCCGGTGCAGCCGGACTCCTCACAGCTTCCACCGTGAAGTGAGGGGAAGAAGAGAAACGAGGAGAGGGAGCAGCCAGTCCCATTCCTGCCCCACCTGCTACTTGGGGTCCTCTGCGCCCTCGCCCTTCGCAGGGGCCACCACCGTGGAGGTTGTCTTGAGGCTCCGCTTCCGCTTCTGCACGTTCTGCTCCGGATGGAACAGGATGACGTAGGTTTTGGGTACGTAGAGCATGCCAAGGGACACCGATGCACTCAGGCTCAAGGACACGGTCAGTGTGGTTGTTTGGATGTAGATCTACGCGTGGAGAAGGGGAGGGGCAGGACTCAGCCCTGTCCTCCCCCTCCCCCACCCCCACGCCTTCCTTGCCACACAGACTGGAGGAGAATGGGAACAAGCGCTCAGGAAAGGACGCCAGCCTGGGCAAAGGCCTGGAGGCACGAGGAGCTTGGAGGCACGAGGGGCTGGCAGGCACGGCGTGGCTCTGGTGTGGGCAGGAAAGAAAGTGAGTGACAAGTAGCCAGGGAAAGGGGGGCTAATCCTCACCATGGATACAACTGAGGAAACGGTCCCCGTGTCTGAGAGGGGCTACAGCATGTTAATGAGTGAACGCGCATGTTTTCGAACATGCGAATGATCAAAGAACAGAGAGCGAACAAAGGAGCGAATGGGCAAACAAGTGAAGGCACAAGTGAAGGCACGGGTGACTGACCAAACGTCCTGCTGCGTACATGAACACATGATCCCGCACGCGGACTGACGGATTCAGGGGTCAGCAGGTATAAAGTACATGAGGACGTCAAATTTAAAAAAACAAGAAGAGTGGACGTTAGGAAGAGAGGTTAGAAGAGTGGATGAACGAATGAATGACCAAAGCAAGAAGAGAATGACGGAATGAACAAGCAGGGGCATAGCGGATGAACAAAAGTGTGAACAGGTATTTAAGTACACAAATGAATCAAGCAACCAAGCAACCATCCAAATAATAAGGCATGCAAATGGGTGGCCCCGGCTCTGGGAACAGTCGGGCCTTTCGATGGATGGGCAGGAAACAACCCAGGTAGCAAGACCTACTGGAGAGCCCAGTTACCTTTTCAGCGGACTGGGCGGTGCCGAAGAAGATGGGCACAAAAGCCAGCCAGATGATGCAGGTGGTGTACATGGTGAAGCCAATGGGCTTGGCCTCATTGAAGGTCTCGGGCACGCCGCGGGCCTTGATGGCATACACGGTGCACGTGACCATAAGCAGGAGGCTGTAGCCCAGGCAGCCGATCAGGGACAGATCCGACATGTCACACTTGAGCACCCCTCTGGCCTGCTCCGGGTCCACTGTCCGCTGCTCTTCGTAGTCAATGACACTGTGTGGGGGCTTGGCCCCCAGCCATGCTATCACCCCCACCACCTGCAGGAGCCAACGCGGCGTCAGAGACATGGCCCTTTCCAGGGATGAGCCCACCCTGGTCCCCCACCAAGGTCTCTGGCAGCTTAGGGTCCCCTGGGGCCTCCCAACCTGCTGAGTGGGATGCTCCGGCCTGAGAGACACGGTGAAGAGAGGAGGGCAGAGCAGGAGGGGCCACCTGGGCAAAGGCCTGTGATCCAGCAGGTGGGGAGAGGGGCTGCCGCGGGGGAGGAGGGTTGCGGGCAGCATCAGGGCGGGTTGGGTAAGGGGCGACTCTATGTCCTCTTCCTGCATTTTAACCATCACCAGCGCCATTCACTGAGCTCCCTCAAGGTACGATGGCTGCAGGTGGAAGCTCTGGAATAGTGGCCCTAAACACATCATCCCTCTGGCCTCCGTTTCTCCATGTACAGAATGGAAACCTTCATATTCTGTTGTGAGGACACAATGCTGTCTTGGGGGAGTAGCTGGTACAAGTTCCACTAAACAGGGCCAGGCCCAGAGAGATGTTTGCTCCGCACGACCCCCAGGTAGGCACTATCATGTCTCTCCTGTAGGTGTGAAAACACGAGTTTGATCACCTCTAGCAACACAGCAACCCTAGTTCCTGAGGACCCCCTTCCTTCTCCAAATCCAGAGAACTGTTGAACTAAATGAAATATGTGTGAATATATCACAGATGACAGGCAAGAGAAACAAAGGAGGCACTCAGTGGAGAGTAGGAAGAACGTGAGCTGATGCTGGGTGGCCCAAAGAGAACCAGAGTCAAAACGGGCCTCCACAGGGAGGAGATGGCGTTTCAGTTCCCCCACAGTGACAGGAGACAAGACCTTGAGCCAAGGGAAGCTGGGGAGCAGGAACTAAGACACTTGGATAAAGGTAGACCCTGGAAGGGCTGCCCCGTACACGCATGCAGGTTGTTCACTGCGTAAGAGCGCCTCATCAGAGGAGCAGGTGGGGCCGAATCTGGCCAGCATGCCAGTGCCATGCTGTGCGCCAGGAGCAGGGCCGTGTGGTCCTGCAGGAAGGGAGGCTTTGCAATATCTGTCCACCCAGAAGAAGCACCTTTGTGATTCTGCCACAGGCAGCAGATCCGTGAACTAGGGACTAACAAAATAAAACGCCGCCCACTGTCCAGGAAGGCAGTACGGAAACTCCCGTGGGAACAAGGCTCTAGCTGGGGAGAGAAAGCCACTGATGCGCAGCAGCAGCGCCCGACACGTGCGCCCGCCGACTTTGCAACTCGTGTGGCTGACAAGGGCCGCACGTGCCGTACCCGTGACGGACTGCGACCAAATAACAGAATGAGCAGAGGACAGGGCAGGTGGGTCAGAGAAGAGGCGATCCCCACGGCCAGGGGCACAGGTATTAAGTGCAGGCAAATTAAAACAACAGTGAGATGCACTTCACACCCACGACGGCCGGTAATCACAGGAAAATACCCAGTGAAGTCGGAGGTTTGCCTTTGAGTAAGATCCGTTCTGTCTGGAAAAGAGGGTGTGTGTGACGCGGGGCGTGCGCGCGAGTGACGGTGGCGTGGTGAGCCCGGTGGGGGCGTGTTGCATGTGGTCTGGGCATCTCCCCGGGTGTGTGGGGGGCCACGGGGTGTTTTAGGGAGGGGCGTGGCGGGCACCTTCTTAGGGCACACCGTCTGGAGGAGGACGGCAGTGCCTCTCAGTCCCGACAGCTGCGTGAGCCGGGGCGGCAGGCGGGCCTGGACGTGAGTGTGCAGGGCCAGCTAGAGAGGAGGGCTCTCCTGGAGCGGAGTGTGCCACCCTCCACCTGGCCCTCAGAATCCGGCTGGTCTGCAGTGTCACACCAAGTCACCCTCCCCGTGCCACCTGCCTCTTAGTCCCTTTGCACAGAAAACCTCCAGGCTCCCCGCTCTGGGCGTCACCTCCAGTGCGCTCACACTGCTGTCCCAGGAAGCCCAGGCAGCTCCACGTCTGACGCACACCACGCCACACGACACTGGCATGCGGTGGAAGCAGATGCTCCGCGCCCGGTAAAATACTGGGCCCTGTGCCTCTCAGCCACGTCGCCCGCCGGACTGGGCGGCAGTGGCTCCCTTGCGGAAACAGAGGGAAGCCAGTCGGAGCTCTCTGCCCTCCCTTGTGGGCCAGCTTGCGGACAAGCACGTGGTTCACGAGAATGACCTCCTTGTTGTGCAGAAAGACAGCGGGTGCTCACGCCCCACCTCACTGTCCCCTTCTCCTCCACGGTCTGATCGGGGGAACTGCTGCCCCTAAACGAGTTCTTCTCATCGCAGGAGGGAGCGGGGTTCTAGCTCCCGCGGCTGTTTTTCTATTTTAACACAGGAGCCAAAGTAGAAAAAAGCAACTCTAGAAACAGCACTTTTCTGATTTAAAGCGGAGGACAGTACCCCTGGCTGCCCCGGCCCCAGGTGGCCGCCCTGCCCCTCGGAACCTGAGGACCCACCTGCAGGGAGGTGAGGCTGAAGGTGATGACCAGCTGCGATGTGGGGCTGATGAAGGGCGGGGGCGTGACGGAGCGCTTGCCCTGCTCGAAGATGCGGTAGATCCGGTTGGTCTTGGTCAGCAGGGCAGAGTAGCTGAGGGTGGTGCCCAGGCCCAGGAAGAGCCTGCGGGCAGCGCAGACTGCGTCCCCAGGCTCTGCCACCATGAGGAAGGTGATGGCGTAGATGAGAAAGATGCCAGTGAGGAGCACGTAGCTGAGCTCACGGCCAGAGGCCCGGACGATGGGTGTGTCGTTGTGCCGCACGAAGGTGGCCACCACCGTGGTGGTGGCCATGATGCCCAGCACGGCCAGGAGGAGGGGTGGGGCCGCCCAGGGGGAGGACCAGGTCAGGCGGACCACAGGCGTGGGGCGGCAGCCGGTGTGGTTGGGCGTGGGCCTCATGTCCCCAGGACAGGCCTCGCAGGTGAACTCGTCCGCCTGGAAGCGGTACCCGTCGCAGGCCTCGCAGTGCCAACAGCAGGGGACGCCCTTCACCATCTTCTTCCGCTCACCCGGCCCACAGGGGAGGCTGCACTGAGACGAGGGTACCTCCTGGGAGTCGCCTGACCACTGCAGGGCCTCCACCTGGGACACACGAGACGCAGGCTGGCGACCTCTGCCCCCGGGGATCGTGGCCCGCCCGCCACACCTGGGGTTCGGTGTGTGCACTCACGTCTAGTCGGAGGGCCTCCGCCCACTGGCCCACCGCCTGGTACCCGCCGCTGCTGGCACTGCCGTTGGCGGCCTGGAACTGGAAGATGTCGTACCGCCCGGGTGCATCTCCGTTCTCGTTGAACATCACGGGCGTTCCCGCGCTGCCTGCAGGGAGAGCCTGTCATCCCCAGCTCGTTCTCTGGCCCATCAGAGCCAGCCTCCTGGGGAGGCCCCACGGACCAGCCAGGAGACGGGCAAAGCCTGACAGGCCGGCAGGAGGCGCTGCGCGCCAGGGAGGTGCAAACCCACGCCACAGCGAGTCACCGCTGCGCACGCGCTGGGACGGCTACCGCCAAAAGCCAAGTGACAAGCGCCGGCGGCCCGTGCAGGGACTGGAACCCTCGTGTACCGGTGGTGGGCATGCAAAACGGCGCAGCCGCTGTGGAACGGCGCGGCGGTTCCTCAGAAAATCAGACCCAGAGCTACCATGTGGCTCAGCATCCCCCCCGGGTATGCACCCGGAAGAACCGGAAGCAGGGTCTCGGAGAGACTGTGCACCGAGTTCACGGCAGCACCGCGCACGTTGGCCACAGATGAGCGCAGCCCCAGTGCCCGCCGGCGGACGGACAGAGAGACACAACGGCACATCCGTGCGGTGGAGCATCGAGCGCCCTTAGAGGAAGGAAATCCTGTCACGCGCTACGACAGGGGCGAACCTGAGGACATTACGCTAAGTGACATAGACCAGTCACAAAAGAACAAACACTGATCCCTCTCTTGGAGGCACCGAGGGCGGTCAGACTCAGAGACAGAGAGCAGATGGTGGGCGCAGGGCCGGGGAGGGGAGGTGTTTAACGGGCATGGAGTTTTGGTTTTGCGAGATGAAAAGAGTCCCGGAGATGGATGGTGGTGACGGTCGCACGTCGTCAGTGTATTTAATCCCACTGAACTGTACGCTCCACAGTGGTTACGATGGTAAATTTTATGCTCGTGTGTGTCTTTCCACAATTAAAAAAGAAAAAAGAAAGATTCATCGTCCAGGCCAGGGGACGGGTTCAGCCTCGGGCGGAGGCCTGCGTGACGGCATGAATGGCACCAATCTGAACGGCCAGCTTCGTTTCTTTCAGAAGCTCGTTCCGCCAGCCTGTGGAGCTGGTCTGGAGCGATGCCAAGTTGAATTAATTAGCAGAGAGCATGGCAGAGAGAAAATGGTCACTAAATATTCGGTGGAGGAACAGAGATTTTATGAAGGATATTAGTTGAACAAAAGTGTATCTCCCCCACACACCATGGGCATAGCTTGTGTCTCTTTGGGTCTCTTCAGAGGACGTGATTTGGAGCCAAGACCATGTGCCAGGCCCTGTGCTGGTACCTGGGGACATGTCAGGCTCATGCCTCGTGCCTGGTGCATGACAGAGTGGGCAGTGTGTCCCCAGGTAGCTCCTGCTGCAGTCGTAACTGTGCCCCAGCCCCACCCAGAGTCCCGATGCCCCTCGGCGCTGTGCGGGGGACAGGAGAGCTGTGTGGGACCAGGCAGGGTTCCAGGCAGCAGGGATTACAGAGAAGTTCCCAACATCTGAGATCTGCGAATCGGGCAGGATGCCGAAGCCCAGGAGGAGGAGTGTTAAAAAGTGAGGACCAGAAGCTGGCCCGAGTCTCCAGCAGTCGGCCTCGGGTGCCGCCTCTAGACCACGCTGCCTCTCCCACCCCTTCCATCCTGAGTCGTCCCAGACCCCACGGAGAAACCCACCCCGCTGGCCTCCCTTCGCTGCTGTGGGAGCACGACATCCACTCACCATTGAAGCGCACGGCTCGAATATACCGCAGCAGCGTGCGCCCATCAGTGGGCTCCATCGCCGGGCACAGGCCCGCGTGGCCGGGGCAGAGCGCCTGGTGCATGCCGTGGAGGGCGTGGGCGATGGCGTACACGGCGTCGATCACAAACTGCACCTTGCCCTCCTGCTCGTAGGTGGAGTCCCGGCCGATGCGTTCCTCGCCTGCCCTAGGGATGCGCAGAGGAAGTGCGCCTGGCCCCTATGCGCCCAGCCCGGGCTCCCGCCTTCTCCCTCACCACCCCGGGCAGCTCTCACCTGTGCACTTGCGGGTGGAATCGTCTGACTGGGTACCTGAACTGGTCAGCTTGCAGTTAAAATTCTCCTCCCAGAACTCGGCAAACCAAATGTTCCTGCGGTTGTTCTCCAGGGAACGAGTCATGAAGTACTGGTCAAATCCTAAGAGGGAGGGAAGGAGAGAGGGTGGCGACCATCTGAGCCAGCCATGGTTCTCCTGTGGCCCTTCGCCACTTGCCCACTTTGCAGCTAGGAGTGGCCATGTGACCAAGTTCTGGCTGGTGAATTCAAAGCCAGCTGGGGCTCCAGGGTAGAATTTGCATCCCAGTGCAAACTCAGAGCCTCACCACTTGAAAGACTTTTATCCCTACTGCTTCTTTGCTGGTTAGGATGTTGCTGTGAAGATGTAACGTGTGGAGCTTCAGCAGCCATCTTGTGAATAAGAGGCCACAGCACGGAGACATGAAACAACCACAGAGAATGTGGAACAGAAAAATGGACACAGCCCGGGGCTTTGACAACATCCCTGACTGACTGTCTCACGCCTGAAGTCACCTCCTTTCAGACCTCTTGTCTTGTGATGAAATGCCGTTATTGCTAAAACCACTCTCAGTCCAGTTTGTCACTTGCAACTAAATGCATTCTAGTTGAAAGAAAGAGTGTGACAGTATCTACCCCCAAAAGCCTGGAAATCTCTGGGAATCAGGGGTCAGCCTTTACAAGGGTCTGGGCTTCATAAAATAGCCCTGAAACATGTCATCAAGGCGTCTTCAGCTCAGCCTTAGGGGAAATGAGCAATGCTACTGTAGAGTGACTTGTCCCCCCGGGAGTCATCCAGACCTTCACAGACGGGATTGGGAGAGGGAGACTCATCACTAATCAGCAGGACAGCGTGTTCCTCATCCTTCCTTTCTCTTCCTCCCACCCTCACCCTCGCATTAGAGTGCCTTTGGTAGGACCAGAAATACCAGCACTAAGTTAAAAACCAAAAACTAACATTCCTTCATCCTGTACGGCGAGTGTGCCTTTCCTCATCCACCGTCTCTTTCAAATACGTCCGGAAGGCTGTATCCGCAGCTCCAGGAACCCTAGAAGGGGCCTGGATCACGGGACCAAGTACACAGATGGGCAAAATGAGCGCTCACCATCGATGGAGGCCCTCTTGGGCAGGATGGTGATGGCGCCCACGGCCACGTCCTCCAGGCTCAGGATGGGCGAGGTCTTGGCTCCCCAGCTGTCTGAGCCGACCCACAGGAAGTGTCCTGTCAGGTTGGCCTGGCGTGCTGCCTCCAGGACGCGCCTGGCAGGGGCCGGGCTGGGGTGAGTGCAGGCCTGGGGTCCTCCTCTAGCTCAGCCCTGGGAGCCCCGTTCGCTACCTGCCCACCCTGCTCCTCGCTCCTCCTCACTGGCCTGATCCTCCTTCCTCAGCGACGAGGCCGGCAGGGTTAAGGCGCTCCCTGGGCTTCCCTCGGGCCCAGGCCTGCCCACTGCTCTGCCCACGGCAACCCGCGCCACACTGGCCCTCACGGGGGCCTTAGGGCCACACCCAGGCCGGTCAGAAGGCTGCCCCTCCCTGAGCACCTCCCCAGTGTCACGCCCACCCCGCAGGCTGGAGGGAGACCCCCCAGCTCCAGGCCTGCAGCTCTCAGGCCCCTCAGTGGCCGCTATACCGGCCCTGGGGCACCTCCCCCCTGGCTCATTTGCGCACTCTGATCCGCCCACGGTCTCCCCCACCGTGAACTGCAAAGACTGACAAGCATTGTGGGTGTTTCCAGGGCCAGGCGTGGAGCACCCCTGCCCAGACCAGGCCCGATTCAACGCTGGGGCACCAGACCCAGGGCAGCAGGAAAGTGGTGGGAGGAGGGAAGGGGAAAGGGAGGGTGTGCCTGGCTGGGGCGGGACCCTCAGGGAGAGCCTCCACAGAACATGTGACTGAACGTGCCACCGTCCCACCTGATGTCATCCTCGTTGGCAAAGATGATGATGCCCCGGGCGTTGGGCGTCTCCATGAGTCTCCTGATGACCTTATTGAATTCTCCCGGCTTCGGTTCCCTGGGAATCTTGATGGACTGGGCGATACACACGCCCCCTGGGTGTCGGGGATGCCAAGGTCAGCTCTTGTCCCACCTGCCCACACACCCACCTGGCCACCACTGCATACGACTGTGCAGCACAGCTGAGGGGTCCCCCTGCCAGGCCATGGGCAGGCACTGAGTCCCCCAAAGGAGAGGGGCATCCGCCCACGTGGACCACCATCCAGGCCCACCACGGCCCTGAGGCCCACCATGGACCCACGCCCCCATCTCTTGGCTTCCGCCCCATCGACAGCCTCTGGCTCCCACCTCTGTAGGCTGCTTGATGTCTTGGAGCCCCCAGCCCCCAGCTCACCGGCCTCGCGGGAGATTTGCACAAAGGCCTCAACCCCACTCTCGCCGTAGTTGCCCTCTGAGGCCAGCGTGGACACGTAGTTCCATCCCAGTGCCCGCACGATGTCCACCATGGCCTGGGCCTGGTAGGAGTCCGGCGGCACCACCCGAGAGAAGAAGTCGTAGCGTGTGGAGTCGCTGAGCTCTGGGGCCGTGGAGGCGTAGCTGATCTGGGGTATCTGCAGGCAGGAAGGACACCTGGGTTGTGGATGGAGGGTCAGGTACTCCAGGGAGAGGGGGCAGTGGGGACCCAGGACATGGATGGGACACAGAAGGCTTGGGGTAGGCAGCTGGGGGCCAGACCTGGGACGACCAAAGATGGGGCATGAAAGGTTTGGGGTGGGGACCTGGGCACCAGCTGGGGCAGCCACAGGGAGAGGCCGGAACGGGTCTGCATTTGTGAGTGGGTCTGGGAATGCTGTATGAGGGGAGAGAGCGGGAGCAGCATTTACAGTTGCGCAAGCTCTGTCCTGAGCACGGGCACCCAGCAAAGGGCCTGTAGCCCATCCAGGTGCATCTGGCTGGGGAAAAGGGCGTCCTGGTCAGCCCGGAGGAAAGCACATTTCCCTAAGTCACACCAAGGGGTGGCTGGCGGAGGGGGAGCGGCCCTGGGAGGATCAGAGCAGACGGGGAGCTGGAGCGGGTATTTGATGTAAGGCTGTGTCTGGCCTAACAGAAGGGCTTGCTGGAAACTGGGTCTTCGTGTGCGTTAGGAGCGATTACAGCAGAGATTATGGCCCTGGTGGGGGACGGGGCAAGCGGGAAGGAGCCAGCTGCGGCAAGGGCCTGAGGACACCGGGAGGAGGCAGGGGCGGGCAGAGCCACGGTGAAGGGCCAGCGGCAGCGGGTGCGAAGCTGGAGGGGCAGAGGTTCCACATGGGGGGCCGGGCTAGTCTAGGGCGGTTTGACGCAGGACAGAAAGTGTGGAGTGTGCACGCAGCATGGAGAAGATGATGGTGAGAATGGCAGGGAGGGCGAGAGAAAGAGGGAAGGAGGGAGAAGGGAAGAAAGTGAGAAATGAGAATAGAGGGGAACGGAGAAGAGAAGCAGAGAAAGGCCGGGCCCAGTTCACGGCACAGACGCGGAGGGTCCCTGAGCCCTCCTAAACTTCAGTTCCTCTTCAGAGCGACCCTCCCCCGCAGGGCGACCCTCCTTAGGGAAGTTAATTTGAAACGCCTGAGATCACAGGGCTGTGGCTGGGAAATGAACTCCGGGTTTCTGTAGACCAGGAATTACAAAACGGCCCCCAGAGAGCCACGGCTGGCCCGGGGTTGTGTCTTGTGTGTAGTGTTTTAATTTTTTTTTTGTCTTTGAACTCGTAGCCAGTGTCTGAAAATAGAGAGTTGCAGCACGGCCTCAGCCTTGGGCCCTGGACTCCAGGCGTCCTGCTTCCCTCGGCGCAGTCCCCACCCGCCCCGGAGGGCCCCGGGTTTGACATCTCTGCACTCGACCTACAGGAGAGAGAAACTGGAGCTCCAGGCAGGGAGGGGACAGGCACAGGCAGGGAAAGGCCACGGGGCAGCCATACATCCTTTCTGGGGGCCAAACTGAAGGTGTGTCTGTGTGCGCCACACCAACACTGCCATCCAGAGGAAACGGGGTGGGGACTTCAGGGTATGCAGGTGACAGAGGGGTCCAAAGCTGCTCTTGGGGAGAACACGAGAAACCCAGGAAAAGGAAAGGCCTCCTCCACGTAGATGGAAGCAAAGGCCTCCTCCCTTCGCAGAGACTCCCCGCTCTCCAGGACCCCAGCGACCGACCACTGCAGAGAACCCCCAAACTGCGATACCCAAGGCCCTCACCCCCGATTCCCCAGTCGCTGCCCCTCACCGAGGACACCCCTAGAGGTGCGCGCGGCGCAGGCTCAGTGCGGGCCGCGCCGGGGCACGGGACGCGCACTCAGGGAAGGAAAGCAAAGCCCACTGTCCCCTTCCGGAGGCCCCTCCAGGGAGGTTTCAGGCAGACATTTTAAAAACGAATTTAAATGATCAGCAAGGAAGAGAGAAGTACTAGAACGTTCAGGCCTGGCCCCCTCCCGCCCCCAGAGCAGCTGGGGCAGAAGCACCCCCAGGGGTGTACAGGGCGTGCCCGGAACAAGCACCCCCGAGCGGGCGGGCACATGGGGGCCGCAGTCCAGGCCGCCTCCTCCGCCAACCCCCCAGGCGCCCTCGTCAGCCCCGGACTCGCTCCCAGGGGGCGCCCTCCGGCGGGAGCGCACACGGGGGGCCCGGGGGGCGGGGGCGCGCTCCGGTCGGGCCTGCGTCTGGCGGCGCCGCGCGAGTCAGAGCGTGCAGGCTCCTCCGCGAGGGGCAGGGCGGGAAGACGGCGGCCGCCCCAAGGCGAGCGCGGGGGACGCGCGGGAAAGCGAAGCGCCCGCGGCCCTCACCGCAAACAGGCGCAGCACGTTGGCGACCATGATGGAGACGGAGCTGGCCGAGGCGCCCACGACGGCCACGACGCGCTCGGGGGGCGCGGCGCGCAGAGGGGGGGCGCCCCCGGGGCAGCGCACGCCCGCCTCGTCGCCGTCGCCGCGGCCGCGGATCAGCGCCTGCACGAAGCTCAGCGCCTGCTCCAGCGCGTACGTGTCCCGCGAGCAGGTGTCCAGCAGCCGCGCGCCCAGGCGCACGCCGGGCAGCAGCGCGGGGTCGGCGTTCACGCGGTCCAGCGCGTACAGCATGGCCTCGAGCCGGTGCACGCCCTGCTCCTTCTTCAGCGGCCCGCACGCCCGGCCCGCCGCGCCGCGCGCGTGCACGGGGAACAGGCCGCCCAGCGTGAGGCCGCCCGCCAGGCGCACCGAGCCCGCGGCGCGCGCCAGCCCCGCCTGCGCCAGCCACGCCAGCGCCAGCGGCGCCAGCAGCAGCGGCTCGCGGGCTCGCCGGGGCCGCGCCATCGCTCGCGGGCCGCGGGGGCCAGACGGCGGCGAGCGCGGGGCCCGTCTCCGCCGCGGCCCTGCCCCGACTGCCCGGGCCCGCTTCCTCCGGAGCCTCCGGAGCCACAGCACCTGTGCGGCCGCCGTCGGCGGAGGACGAGTCTGCGACAGATGCCGACGGCCCTGAGCCAGGGGGGATTTAAGGATTCTGGGGAGGGCGGAGAGGCCGGCGGAGGGCGGAGGCCCCTCCTGAGCACGAGGGCGGCGCGGCTCTGCTCACCTCCTTCCCCTCCCTCCCGTCCTGACGTCCCGTCCGTAGCTTGTGTCGCACCCAGATCCTCTGGTCGATCTCTGTCTCGCTCAGTTTCTCCATCCTGTCCCTCCTCTTCTCAGAGCTGTCCTGTCTTCCTGCCTCCGTCTCTCCCGCCTCCCTCTCTCTGCCCCTTACCCTTCCTGGCCACCAGCCCTCTTGACTCCAGCGGCCCAAGGGGCTCCCCAGCCTTCTCCTTGCAAACCGCAGGTAGCCGCGCGCGGGGAGGGGACGAACAGGGTGGGCCTGAGCGAGGCGAGGGGGCGCGCCGGGCAGGAAGGAAGCAGGGAAGCAGGAGCGAGCAGACCTGCGAACGCCAGGTGTACCGCCACCCCGCAGACGCAGTCGGGGAAATGGAGTGTCGAGGAGGGGGACGGCACACAGGGACACACGGTTGGCACGCGTCAGCACCGGCATTTGCACCCAGAGTGGTGTGAGACCGCCAGCCCACACTGCCTTGATGGAGGGAGGGGACAGGGCTCGGTCCGCTGCACCTCCCACCCACGCCTCTTGCAAGGGAGGCTGGAACCCGAAGGAGTTGTCCTGGCGGCGTCCACAGCCTCCCCGGGCTCTGGAGCTGTGCCTCACTTTCCCCATCTCGTCCTTGGGGGCCAAGGTGAGGGCCCTCACCCCCCTCCGAGGCCCCAGATTTGGCTCTGGCTGAGAGAGCAGAGGCCAAGCTGGAGACAGGTGGCGTGTTCCCAGCCGCAGGGATTAGCAGGCTGCTACAGGGGCCTGAGCTGGCTTGGGCTGCATTAGACAGGGTGGATTAGGGTGGCCGTGGGGATATGGGCAAGGCTGGCAGGGGGAACAAGCCAGAAACATGCCACCTTTCCATCCGCCCCCACCGCAGCCACGGGCGTGGTCTGCTTTCCCAGAACCACCTCTCCCTGGGGCAGCTGTTTCCACCCATTTTGCAAGTGGGAAGGGTGGGCCGTCAGCAGGCACAAGGCCCGAGCCTGCGGCTGCAAAGGTGCACGCCCGAGGCTTTGGAGGTAAATGGGCCGAGCCGGTGGGCCCACAGCACCGCACAGCCCTTCCCTGCTCCGGACGGGTCAGCCAGCTGCCATGGCGAAGCGGGCTCATGACTTAAATGACCAGAGCAGCCACTGGCTCCTGCCTGGAGCAGGGACCCTCAGGGAGCAGGAGCAGAAGCCGGAGACCCGCAGGAGGCTCCCACCCGGGGTGCGGGAGGGAGGCCGGCCGGCCTGTGCTGCTCCTGGTTTCCATAACTGGTTACGTAGCGCTGGCTGGTGTCTATAAGTACCTTGCCCACAACCCACTCCCTGTCCCTTCGGCCCTCAGCAGACACCTCAGCTGGCCGTGGCTCCTGGCCTGCTAGGATCACCCAGACCCTGGTTCCTGCAGGAGCTTGGCCTGTGCCGGTCCTGCTGAGATGTTGGTTGTGGCTTCCCAGTGACCGCAGTTGCCGGGCATTCGCAATGTCAGGCAACCACCGCGACGCGGGGTTCTGTCGATCGAACTAAAACCTGGCCTGAGAAGGCCTCAGTCCTCCCATGCTTGCGTCCCGCAGCGCCAACCGTAAGCTGGCCCTGAAGGTTGGCAAACTGAAAACCTGATTTGGAAGTGTGCTTCTGTAACCACTGCCGAGTGTCACGCAGCCGGCTCGGCGGCCAGAACCGAACCACTCGGGCCGTCAGCTGCCCAAGCCGTGGTCGAGGGCGGCAGATGCCCAGCCCCAGCCGGTGGCCGTTTCTGAACATCACTTCCGTTTTCTGTGTCACTTTCCTTTCTCTGTTCATAAATTTCCTCCAAACATGCAGCAGTGCTCGATTTGAGAATCCTCTTCTTTCCTTGCCCAATTAAACTCTGTTAAATTTCTAAAATTTTTCTTTTAAAAGTTCCAAAACATTTTCCTCACCCCAAAAGGAAAGTCTTCATACCTTTAAGCAGTTACTCTGGAGTCCGTCCTCCACCCAGCCCCTGGCGACCACAGATCTGCTTTGTCTCAGTGATTTACCTACTTTGAATATTTCATGTAAATGAAATCTTACAGTATGTCACTTTCGCATCTGCTTTCTTTCACTTACCATGGTGTTTTGAGGTTTATCCACATTATGGCCTGAATCCGTACTTCATTCCTAATTTTATAATAAAATTCCATCGTGTGTCTATAGCACAATTTGTTTATCTGGAGTCCATTCATGGACACTGGGCTGTTTCCAACTTTTGTCTATTTGTGTATATTTGTTTGAGTCCCTGTTTTAAGTTGTCTTGTGTACATACCTAGTTTTGGGGGTCAGGACACACCACCCCATAGTATGACCATAGAAGACCGGAAGATGCCATCCCAAAATATCCTTCTTTGGCATACTTTGATCTGGTTAATCTGAGAAGCTGTAGACACAGGGGTAGCTCTGAAAAACTGCCCTTTTGTAAAAGAAATTTACATCCATAAAGGAAATCTACGTTAGTAAAAGTATCTGTATCAGGAAGAGGGCTGCTCCAAAAAACTTATTATCCAGGAGACTTTTTATTTCTATGACCAGACAACCTTTATTCCCCACGCATTTCCCCCCCCCCCCATAAATTGTCTCCAAGACAGCCCCAAGCCCCTGCTCCTTTCTGTAGCTCAGGACGCTGGACAGGCTTCAGTCATCTGGCCCCTCCTCCGGCCTCGTACTCTGTGGACTCCCGTGCATATTATGCAATTAAACACAGCTTTTCTCCTGTCCGTCTCTTATGTCAATTTAAATCATAGCCCCACTAAAGACCCTAGGAGGGTTAATTTTTGTGTATGGTGTGAGGGAGGGATCCAACCTCATCCTTTTGCATGTGGATATCCAGTTGGATACACGGAAGTCCTCTATGGTAGGTAATATTTGGTCAGAGACCAAATTAAGAGTGTTGAAAAGCAACGTTGATGTCTATTAGGAAGAGAGGACAGCACTTGGAGATCCCAGGGACAGAAAAATGCCACAAAATAGCCTGAAAATGCTTGTGTTGCATAAAACTGCAGATAAAAAGTAACCAGGAGTATTGGAATAATAGGATTGGAACAGACCACTCAAATCATAAGGTTTGGAACCAGAACACAAATGAAAACCACGATTCTAACAAAAAATAATAGCAAAGTTAAGGGGGCATGATAAAATGTTAAATACATAAATACATAAATGTTAAATATTAAATGCATATGTGTGTATCTATACCTACATACTAGAGTAAATTGAGAACTTTACCTTTTAAGAGAAATGAAAGCACCTTGGAGAAAGGATATGATGAAGGAGGGGCTGATGCCCCTGAGTTAGGAGGACCACGCAGAGAGCAGGTGGCCACCTGAGCCGAGAGGGATTGTGGGAGCGGGGGTCGGCCAGGCACAGGCCTGCGTGCTCGTCGCGCAGCTCTCAGCTGTGTTGGTTTCTCTAAGTGCAAAGTATCAATGTGTGGAGGAAAATCCCACGTAAACCAAGAAACCCTCCACATACCACCAAACTAATCACAATACGGAAACATGTTGCAACGGAATATATTTCTTCACAAAAAAATTCAGAATAGAAAAAAAGAAAACATGCAACCATGCATTTTATGAGGCCAATACATGGTACAAGAAATAAAGTTTACAGGTCAAACTAAGGAGCATAGATACAAAAATCCGAGTCCAACATTTGCAAGCTGAAATACACAAAAATGTCATAACCAAGTCTGGTTTATCCCAGAAATGCACTTTAGCAGATTAATGACTTAGCAGATCTATTAATGTAATTCACTGCATTAACAGATTAAAGGAGAAAAACATGATTATCTAAATGGATGCAGAACAGGCATTTGACAACATCTAATATTAAATTCATGATTTTAAGTTTTGCAACCTAAGGATATTCTTTAAACTGATAAAGTTATCTACTAAAAGCCTACAGAAAATATTGCACTCAGCGATGAGTTATCTGAAGTATTTATTTCCCTTAAAATCAGAA